AAGGTTTCCTAACTTTCAACTCATAACTCAATTCTTGCACCTATGAGCAAAAAAGAATAAAAAGTATTAGTTATCTAGCCAGCAGTGAGAGTGCTCATCCTTCTTCCTGTGTCATGATGTGGGTGTCCCCCATATTACACCAGAAAGCAGGAAAGCCTCATCAGTCCAGCTGCTGTTAGATCTGCTTGAAAAGTGCTTTGGGTAAGCAGATGTGTTATACTTTCCAGCTTGGCAGTTTGGTCCATTTCCGTAAGTTAGCAGATTCTAAAGAAGCTTCCAGGCAAAAGATAATAGCTACAGGGATCAGCAAGCTGCAGGGGGTAGTGGCTGCGTAATGGCCCTTCTGCTCTTTCCGGCCCCCTATATTGCCTGTGTGGTGCTCCCAGCACACATCAGACTTTAGCCTGAGCTTGGTTAGCCAAAATCTGAGCAGGATTTGGAAGAACAGTCCCAATGGCATATTGTATATTTCCTTTTCAGAGGATGACTAAAGTTAGATCAAAACGGAGCACCTGAAACTGGAATTGCTGAAAGAAAATAGTTGTGAGATTCTAGAAAAAGAATCAAAAAACCCCAGCCTTTGAAGGTAGAAGCTTTCAGGTCATTGGGAAATTGTGCCTGTGGTAGGAGGTAGAGTAACTCAGAGTTCTTTTCTGTAAGGTATGACCCCAGAGTGCAGGAATATGGACTGAATTGACAGGAAAGGTATAAGACATGAAAAGATTGGTTTGGGTTTTTCTTTTAAAAGAATAATTTTTAAAGTAACAAATAAAAAATCCCATGTATTTACAATACAATTTTAAATTATGTGCAGAACTACGTGAAGTGTTTCAAAAATTATCATGCATCTGACGAAAGAAAAGATAACAGCTTACTTTAAATGTGGGAGGTTTTCCCCCTCCCTATGACCTTAGGCTTTCTTCTCAGTGTGCCAGAATGCCAGCTGCTGCCTGATAGGAAAGACTAGGGTACCCTTTACCTATTTCATCTAATTGTAATTAGTCTTTAACAGAATTGAAATTCCTTACAGGCCGCTGATTTGCTGTTGCAACTTAGACAGAAGTGGCATAGCCTATTTCTGCGTCGTATGAGAGCTCCTTCAAAGTTGTGGTCTCAAGCTGATGAAACAACTGTAAGAACAATTGTAGCTGTTTTAACTGCTGAAGAACAGTCTGCAGGTTTGCAGCAGCCTTCGGGAATTGGTCAGAGACCAAGAACTGTGGCTTCAGAAGAACTTCCTTTAGCATCTACATGGAGGTCAGCCAACAACAGAAAAAGTTCAGCAGAAACTGAATTCTCTGACTCCTCTAATGCTGAAAAGTAAGCTGTTGAGATCTTCTAGAGACTGTAGATTGTAATTTATTAACCCCAAAAAGCATGACTTGAATTTCTGCTAGTATTAAGAAGGAAGAAACAATGTAAATAGTGCTGAAAGCTTTGGTACTGTTTTATGCTGTGTTGTAGTTGTGATTTCATGGAGAAGTATTTCATATGTATGCCTGCTGTTAAAGAGAGCAGTCAGGAATATTGCCCATAAGCTCTTTGAGAAGTAGGAGGAGAGGTATAACTGTAACATTCAAAAACGAATGTATGATAGTAATTTTTTTTTTAAATCAGTATTTAATATGGTTTTGAATTACTGTAATATATACAGTCATGCAATAGGCTGATATATAGATATAAATTATTCTCTGACTGCTTGTGAAAGTTGTGGTATGTCCCGTATCTACCTTTACTTTTTAGAGTTTTAATGAAATCTACACCTCCTGCACTTCACCAGGCAAAGAAGTACAAACGAAAAAATATTTTGCACTCCAAACAAACTTCCGATGACAGGTCAGATCGATCATCAGTGAAGTCTGCAGACAGCAGTAGCTATCCTAGCCCCTGTGCTAGTCCTTGTTCTCCAATATCTGGAAAGGTAAAATTCCCATAAACATATTACCCTCTTCTTCAAAATTAATAGAACTTCTTGCTGATATCTTTCAGCGCCGATCAGGTATAGTGTTGGTAAATTAAGAACTGAACTTAGATTTCCATTGTTAACAACTGCATAATATTTCTTTCTGGAACTTAAAATCAAGTCTAAATATCCTTGTTGCACTAGTTTAATTCAGTAAAAATACTATTCTCTGCGGACTTCTGAGGTAAAGCTATATGAAGTTGAAAAAAAATCAGATTTTTTTAAAATTTTTTTTTTTTTTAGAAACTTGCTATACGAAACAGTGAAGGTGTGTACAGTACATACACTTCTGAACCCTTTGGTTTCTCTTTTCCTCTGTTTCTGTAATAGCATACACTGGTACTGATTCTACAAGTTTTATGGTATCTACCTTATTACATCTGCTTGGGGGGTTGAGGTTTTTTATTATTTTTAAAAAGCACATGTTTTTAATTAATTATTGTCATAATGCTCTCTATATACTTGAATAGTAAACTGCAGTAATATTAAACAGATCCCTGAGGGGATAGCCCATTGCTCTTTTCGTCATGGACTTATTGGAGAATTTATAGTGCCTCTTAAGTCTTTCAGTTTTTAAATTCAGGCAGTTTTGTTAAAGAGAGAAAACTTTATGTTTTCTGAAGATGGAATATGAATAGTGTGCTGCAGGCTACAGTCTAGGATGGTTAATTTTGTGTGGAACTGAAGGTCTATTAGACTTCAAAGAATTGTAATCACTATTTAGGCCTGTTCTACTGTACTTGCTTCTTGCCTTTCTTGAATGAATTACTATTTTTAAAAATTCTTAAAAATATAAAATAGATGTGAAAATCAATTCAGAGAGGAACAGCTGATGGATTTTGTATTTCTTGAGTAATCTGGAAGAGGAGGGGAGGAGTGCAGTGAAGGGATTTCTATCTTTATGTGTGTAAAACTTTGAACTAAAACCTGATTTATTTTATTGTATCGATTAATTTAATTTTTCCAGTGTTCCACATCTCCTTCACCAAGACAAAATATGCCAGTTCGGTACTTTATAATGAAAAGTAGCAACTTGCAGAACATTGATATTTCTCAGCAGAAGGGTATATGGTCCACTACGCCAAGTAATGAGCGAAAACTGAATGGAGCCTTTTGGGAGAGCAGCACAGTTTACTTAATATTTTCTGTTCAAGGGTCTGGACACTTTCAGGTGAGTTCTTAGCTAATACTAAATATTGTCTGTGATTAATGTTTTAGGAGAGTGCAGCAAATGCCTATGTGTGGTATGGAGGGCTTTCATTACGACTCCTGACCTAATAAGTGTAGGATGCCAGTGTCTCTAGTTGTTGAGGAAAGAGTCCTTCATTCTTCTCTGAAATAGACCATTTTAATTAACTCAGTTTGTTCCTCAAAGGCTAATACTAAATTTCATCCGAATATAATGAGTCAGAATAATGTTTATATCCTACATAAATGCTTTCAAATAACTGTAATGAAATAAATAAATCAAAAAATCTACACAAAGCAAGTGATTGCTGCTCTTCTCTCTGCATACTAAAATAAATATTGCAATTGAACAAGTAGTTATAAGTCACAGCTTTCCAAAGTCAGCAAACTCATAGATGGCTTTATTACAAATTTTAATAAAAACTGTTTTGCCTAAACTGTGATTTCTTAGGAAACTGGGAAGCATGGCCATGGTTCTTCCAGAGCTTTGACTTGGCCATTTAATAGTTAGTGAGGTATTTGTCAACAATTTGTTGACAGATTTGTGGCCAATTTAAAATTACACTTCACCTGGTAGTGCAAAGTTGCAGGTTAGCTGTGTTGTAGAGTCAGCTAAACCCAATTTTTCAGGTAAAGAAAGTTCAATTTATCTCTCTATATAAACTATTTACAGAAGTCAGCTGAACTTTAATGAACCAACCCAAATACAGGTATCTTGGCAAGACTGCTGGAGGATTGCAATGAGATACATATACAATGATTTGGCAAATGCAATGTAATTTTCAAAAAAAAAAGCAATGCAAATGCAATGCAATGTAATTTTCAAAAAGGTAATTTTCAGCATGCCAGTTGATGCTGAAAGTAGGCAGTTATGTTGGTGCCCTTAGACAGGGAAGCTGGCAGGGGAAGACACACTGAAGTCAGGATGTGGGTGGTTGATACTGCCCTGCCCTTCCAGTTTTGACAGTGTACTAGACCTTTATGACAATGTGAGGTTAACTTCTCTAATAATATTCTCTTATTCCAGGTGTCTCTTTTCTTTCTACCATTATTTTTCCTCGCTTCCTTTTGTTAATTTTCATTGAAGTGTGGCTTGAACTGTCTAGGACTGTGTGTCTTACAGCAGAAGTGTGTGCTGGTAACTTAGTGCACCGCAGGTCTTGGACTCTTAAGTCATAACTGGCATAAATTTGCCTAAATGGCTGATACATTATATGTGGCCTGGGTTTGTTTTTGGTTTGCTTAGGGGGGGTAGTATATTTAAGGACTGTCCTTAAATAAGTTAGATGCAGCCTTGGATTTGTGGTTTCTTTAATTTTCTTTTTTTGATGCCGAAAAACCTTGGAATGATTAACTGCTCGGAGACTTTTTCATCTATAATCAGCAAGGTATTTGTTTATTAAATGCTGGGAGGAAGCCAGCTCATGCTGGACACACTTGTTCAGCTTGCAAGTGCAAAACTAAGCCATTTTATACACTTTAGATACACTGTTACATCATCTGACATAATAAGTAGACTGGTCTCTGGGTAGAGTCTTTTCAGAATCTCTTTGGATGTGTGCCATCTTCTACTGTGGGGGTCTTCTCCTCGAGCCTTCATCCCTCTGGTGGTTGCCACGGACATCTTCCTCGATCTAACCTCTTCAGTTTTCTTTGTTAGGTGACCTGAATTCTTCAAGCTCGCAAGATCCTGGCTCTGGGCCTTCTATATCTTATTCAAAAGTCTAGTTTCCATAATTTATTACCTTGTGTATACTACTCCTATTCTTCCTATAATAATGACTTTGGTCCAGTGAGTAGAACAGAACATGATATTAACCAGTGCTCCTAAAAGGTTCTTCTGGCAAAACAGGTAGAGCAAACAGGACAAGGTATACCAGCTGAACCACTGTTAACTCTTTTTTGTGCCTTTTTACCATCATTCTGAATATTTGTCTGGTTGGAACTTCTTTCCACTTCATTAAAGAAGGAACTAAAAGCAACTTTGACTTCGGTCTTTGAAGAACAGCTGCACTTTTCTAATTCTAAATGAAAGTTTATTTGCAGAGAGGGAGCAAGAGAAGGAAGGAATGGATTTGTGCGAGTATCTGCGAGTAACAAGGAATAGTTAATGGACTGTTCTATAGTATAACATTCATCTTGATTCCTTGTACTTCATATGTTTTTACAACATCTTTTCAACCTCTGTTACAAAGCTTAAAAAAGTCTTTAATGGTAATTGTGAGAGATGAATTGAGAGACATACTTTGTGATCAAACTCTAGAAGATATCTTTTAAGTGGAAAAAAAAAATTATACTTCTGACTTCCTTGATGTAAACATTTTAGAAGTGCACTCGTTTATTTAATTCCAGCATAAATAGATATGCTCTCATTATGTCTGTTCTTTCATATTTAAATTTTTGTTCCAGGGTTTTGCTAGAATGAGTTCAGCAATAGGGTGTGAGAAAAGTCAAGACTGGGGATCTGCTGGTTTTGGAGGTGTATTTAAGGTGGAGTGGATCCGAAAAGAAAGCATTCCTTTTCAGTTTGCACACCATTTACTCAACCCTTGGAATGACAATAAGAAAGTACAAATAAGCAGAGATGGCCAGGTAATGTTATTCTCTTCTGAAGTCTTTACTTGGTAGAATTGCATATCATTTATTAACTTGTTCAGCCTTGACGTTCATCTCAACTGTCCTCATGTGTTTGTTAATCTGAATCACAGTTCATTGATGTGCATTGTGCCTTTTGCTAATGGAGAATTACTGTTGAACTAGTGGAAACATTGGATAAAATCAAAGCAGTTTATTACTTAATTTGTGTTCCAAACAAAAAAAAAAAAAAGATAATTTAAAACTGGATACATCCAAAAATGAATGTTTGAGAGTTTTTTAATTTCAGAGTTTTGTGCCCTGTTTGGTTCAGATGTGTTCCCTGAAATAGTTTGTCACACCCAAAATAACTGTTCATAATTAGAGCTTTGAGTGTTTTGTAAAGCCTGAAGTGAATTTTGATATTTTAGATAGAATAAAGCTTAGGACTCTTCTCCAGTTTAAGTCTAAATTCAACTACAAAAAGCAAGAAAAGAATTGGCACAAGAGTTCTCTGGCAGTTTCTGTGTTCTCCTCAGTCCCCTCCCAAAACATCTCTTTGATACAACATTCTAGAGCTAAACTTCTTGTATTGTCTGCTCACTGCTTCCCAAAAACCTCTCTAGTTGCAAGAATGAGGAAAGGAGCATACTGCAAGAACAAGGACAGGAATATGTAGCACATGCTGTAGTTGACAGTCCTTCTCTTGTAAGTGGCTCTTAAGACCTAAAGAATCTCAATGATCCTAAAAACAAGTGGTTTATATTAGTACATATGATTCCACTAAGAGCCACTGTATGAACTCTGGCCTGCCTTTCCATGTTCTCCACCACACTATTGATCAAATTACACTAAAAAGATGAGGAGAGTGGTAATCTTTAGTCAATAAGAAAGTGACCTGTGGAATGTGTGAATTCTGTGGTGCATCCGTTCTACTTGTATGTGATGGTGGTGTGTTCACTGGGAATTCTCTTGAGAATTGACACGTTGCAGTGAAGAGAAAAATGCCAAACAACCTATAGGCCAGGTTTGCTTATGGAAGTTTTTAATCTCCTGCTGAGCCTTTCCTGTGTGTAGAATTCTAATGTATGACTCAATGGCAAAAGGAATTACCTTTTTCAGAAAGGTTGAAAGCATTCACAAGGAACCTCTGCTAAGAATTTTGTAATAAATAGTTCTTCTATGTCATAGTAGTAGTGCTAATAACTTCTCTAATTTCCTGATCATTTCTAGGAGCTGGAACCACAAGTTGGAGAGCAGTTGCTGCAGCTTTGGGACCATATTCCTTTGGCAGGAAAAAGATCAACTGATTAAGCATGTTGGATAATGTGATGGAGGTAGTTATTTCATGCATTGTTTTCTGGATTTATGATAGAGGAAAAGATGTCTACATACAGTGTATTGTTACAGTACTGCTTTTCTCTTGTAGGCTGTGGAAGAGCGTTTACACTTGGGACTGAATATTCTCTTCCTTTTGATCTCTTTTAGCTGTGGTTTTTGGAACATCAGCTCTAACCACAAGAACCAGCAGCATGTCTACAATATAAAGATGAGGAAGAAGGTGGCACAACAAGCTCCTGAAGCTGCTAGTCATACTGTGCAGCTAGAAGTGGAAAAATAAGAGAGCATTATGTTAGTTTCAATGTTTCCTTGTTTTAACATGTCAATAGCATTATTCACCAACCTGGTTTTGACTGAATTGTTTTTTCTACAGTAGTGTGCAGTAGATATTTTAAAACAGAGTAAAGTTCAAAACTGATTTTGAAACAATGCAACACCTGTAAGTTGTTCATGGGTTTAAAGTAGCACAGCAGACAGTTTAAATACACAGTTTACATTTAAAGAGTTCTCCTGTAAAATCCAGTAAAATGTGTGAAAGAAAGCTGTGTAATGTTAATTAATCAATCTTGCAGTTTGCGTAAAAGAAATAATTTGAGGATAAATGGCTCCAGATGGATTATAGGATTCCATAAGTGTTTGTATGGCAGTGCAGACTTCTGTATGACAGTACAAGAGGACAGGATATATTCATACAAACAATTATACAGCTGGAAAATATTAATTTAGAATTTAAATTCATGAGACTTTTGAGTGTGGGTTGGTCCAGTGGCGTTTCAAATATTTTTTTGCCTTTAAGAAGTACTCACAGTTGGACAAGCTGGAACAGTCTTTCAGAGGCCTGTTGCCAAATGGTACTCTAATTGTTCACTACTTGGGCATTGTTAGATTTTTTCTTCTTTCATAAAAAATAAAAAAAAATTACCAGTACCACATGCATCATCTTTCAGTGTAATTCATGCTTCCTTTCTATATCTTGTCTTTCAAGTTCTTTTCTTTCTTCTGTACTACTGTTATTTTGCTTTATTTGGCTTCTTCTTAGTCTTTAACATACTATACTATAAGGCTGGTATAAATTCAGTCTTCTCATTGTCAGCACTATATTTGTGTTCATTCTCAGGTTAAGAGCTTCTGAGCTTCTACTCACAGGATATTCTCACAGTTCAGACTACCCTGTGTATTCATTCTTGCATTCTGTGGTGACTTCCATCTGTAAACTGTCAGTTGCAGTAGGTTTAAGAGCCAAGACTAACAAGGTCTCTGTAAGGCTTTAGCGCCTAATGCAGTGTTTCTGGAGATGGTGCACACAAGGGAGCCATGAGGCTTGTGTTGCCCTATAAAGTACTTGCAGACCTGTGCCCACAAAGAAATGTGGGGCATATTGCCTTGTACAGGATTAAGGGTCCCCATGCGCTTCAGGGACAGAGCTGGCACAGGAGAGCAGGGGCAGGCGTAATGTTTGGTTGTTCAGCCTGAAGAGTACTTCTGCAGCTTGATGATAAGAACAGTCCAGCCAAGGACTTTGAATTCCCCAAGGGCGTTGTCTGGCATAGGTCTCTTGATGGAGAAGAGATTGCGCCCTGCTGTCTTGAGTGACAGCCACAGTCATGTAATTTTTGGCGTGCCCAGATGTTACGTCTAGCCCAGTCTTGGAGATTTATTTGACTTGCGCTTGTTACAACCCAGTTAATTGTACTACTGATCTGTATTTTTGCCTGTACTGTTATCTGGAGATGGACTGTTTGTCCTTGAAGCTGTTGGTCTGGTGTCTGTTACCGTATTCTGTAACCTGGCATGGCTACCTTAAGCCCTTACACTCTGGTGTTACAAGTGGGATGTGGTACACTGCATCATGGCCAGCCCTGACTCTGTAACAGGTGCCTCAGTTGATTACTTTGGGACTTTGCCATGCCCATGGATGTCAGATTTTACTTTGGTTAGAGAAAGTCAGACGGATGGAAACACAAAGGAGAGTTCCCCTGCTTATATCTCATGGCTCGCTGCCTTAGTGGTACTGAGCAGCATTTGAAACAACGCAAGCCCAAGTTTACTACCTACAAAAACAAGATCCATCCTTCACCCAGCAGGACCCTGGGGCTGCGATGGAGGAGAAGGCTTTAGCCCCTGTCTGTGTTAAAAGCCATCAGGCTAATGTGGGGAGCAATGCACGATCCTCCAGGTAACAGTATCTGACCATTGTCTGGAGGCAGAATTGCTTTATATGTAGAGTCCCAGAGGACAGGGATAGTGCTTGATCTGATTCAGATTCAGACAATGCTGTGTCAAGTTCCTCCCTAATGGAGGACTTGGTAATCCAACCAATTCTTAAAACAGAGTATGATGCTTGACAAGTTCCACTACATGCTCTTTCACAAGCACTGATATAGCCGAACTAAGCAGGTGCTGTCACAAATCTGTTACTGTAAACTATCTAACCTGTCTGGCAAATATGTTACATAGCAGACAGGGGACACCATCTGAGTTTCAGACTGGAAAACCTGGAGGCTCACTCTGAGGTCTGGCATCCAACTCAAGTCTCCAGCCAGAAGCACAGATACTCTCTTCCAGGCAGCGCTAGGACATGTTCAGAGAAGTACCCTGGGATCACAGAGACCCCTGGCTGTTCCCTGGGCCAATCCCACAGATTTGGATTGAGCTTTGTTAGGGTGGTTATCAGTCATGTTTTAGAAGTAGACCCTATGGCAGAAGAACATTGTGTGGACATTGTCCCACATCTTCCGTAAGTGCCCGCTAATCAAAAAGGGTCCTGGTCCACTTGGAGCCCATTTCAATAGGCACTGGCCTTACAGGCACAGCAACCAACCTCACCTGGGCCCATCTCTTCCCAAGTTAGTGTCTGGATAACAGATCTAGTGGACTTTTTTTGATGCTACTGAAGCATTTGAAAGTTCATCTGTAAGAACATCATTCTGCTTGCTTTTAAATGATGATTTGAAAGAAAAAGCTTCAAGAAGGTTCCCTCTGATCTCTCTCATTGGATGATTAGTGTTACGGCGACCTTGTTTCTCAGATAGACTCCTTTATTTCCTGCACTGTCATCCATACAAATTTTGTTGGTTTCATCTAGTAGAAGTAAGGCCATCTTCATGGGCAACCATCACTTTAGTTAAATCCTTGCAAAATGTCTGTACAGTTTTTTCACTGTGCAGCAATGGTTTCCTGATAGTTCTTTCTGCAGAATCCTCTGCTCTGGTTTCATGTTGTGCCTGTAAGACCACAGATTTGAATGTTTTGGAAAACCACTTCTTACAGCCATCAAGCATGTTCTGGTTTCCTAATCCTGTGTATTGACATCCTCTGTATTCACTTTATGTCACCTGGGTCTCCAGAGAAACAGATCTTGGTAACCATGTGTCTGGTGTTACCAGCAATATCGTGCCTCTGTGGAAGAACTCCAGTGTTGCACCTCTGTATCAGGATTTTTAGAGACACCCCATCTAGCTTATCAAGACTGAGTGTGACAATATACACTCTGAAAACTAAAGCAGGATGAAGGGCGCAAAGGTGAATGTATCTGAAAAGTGTTGGACTTGATGATCTCAGAACTCTCTTCCAACCCAGTTAATTCTATGATTCTGTGAAAAGGCAACTTTTATCTATGATGACAAATGGGAGAAACAGCCCATCACCATCTTCTCTGCAACAATAGAAATCCCATCTTGGAGACTGTAAGGCAGGAATGATTTACTCTACTTAAAAGTAAATTAAGTTCTTGCAAGCTAGACCATTGCCCATAAACGCTGGAGTGAGGAGAAGGGAAACATAAATGGAGGACAGCCACAGGTTTGCAGAGCTTTCTCATATATGAAAACTTAGCAGCACTGATTCAGGGCAACTCCTGACATGTTCCTCAATGCATTAGGTAAGATCTTTGCCAGTGGCTCATGAGAAAATGCTGGTGTGCTGCCTCCTCAGGAACATATTTCTGAAAGTAGGTAAAGGTGGCAAGCTGTGTTGCAACAGACAGAATTTGGTTCCTTTCGCTAGGAGCCAAAGAAAGTTTAATTATTTTTTAATTTTTTTTTTGTCAAATATTTTACATTTATAAAAATCTTAAGCTTCTATTGTCTATTTGTTACAACTACTTAATCCAATATTTCCTTTTTTTACATTTTTTTTCCACTATTGAACTGATATAATTTTTGCTCTATCATCCCAACAGCTATAAAGACGTTTCCTTTGGTCCCTGTGAGTTTAATTTCTACTGTGAAATTTTTTGCATTTTCTATTTTAAATGCTTGATATACTGCCTGTTGTCAAAATGAAATCACAGCTCATGACTGGCAAATTTCTCTGAGCTGATTGGATCAGTCCATAATTACCCGGAGGTGCTTTGTCTTTAAAGTGAATTAGAGTGGTTTCTGCAGTGGCTAATTTTTCCCCCTCTTTTTTTTTTTTTTCTCATGTGGAGCTGAAGTGATTCTCCCAGAGCAGCCACTTTCTAGGTGTATTCAGTCACTGTCTGAATGATATTAGCTGTTAAATTTTTGTCACTAGGCTCTCATCTCCATCAGTTAGATGTATTGACACAGATCAATTATGATACCAAGTAATTTGATCTCTGTGCCTCAAAGGCAAGAACCAATAAAAAGGAGTCCTTGGGCCATTACGCACTTACAATCTGAACTCCCCATCCCTCATGCAACAGTCCAGACCAACAGCATTGTTAGTTTGTTGCATCTTCTAACAGGTACCTCAGGCCAGAAAGTAGGTGATGCTGCTCTGGATTAAAAGCTTTATTTGTTGTTTTAATTCTTTTGACAGACGTTGAAAGGGTGTTGCCTAGATCCGAAGTGTAAATCTGGGTTTAAAGACAAGTCAGGTCTCATGAAAGCAGACTGAGGGAATATCCACTGACAACATCCACCCTATTCTTCACTTTTTGTATCTGCCTAGTTGTTAATAAAGGCAGTCTGACTGTATCAACTAAAGTCAAGGTTTTATTCTTTGGTCCTCTTCGTCACACACACACTAAGGGAAGAAGGGAAGTAGATAGCAGCATGAGAAATGGCAGAATTGCCAGTTCTGGAATGCAATGCTTACATTAAGTGTATTTATTGCGCCTAGCGCAGGGATTTTTAAGACTACAAGAACTGTTCAAACCTCTTTATACTAACTTATAACACTCTGTTGCTACTAAATATAAATCCATTTTTTTTCTATAAGTAAAGCTAACATAAACAATCTGTTTCTGTTAGTTTTAACTTTGCTAGCAGGTGTTCACTGCAAGATGTCCTTCCACAGAAGTTTAGCAGCTTCTCTCATTCTCACTCTCACTGAGTGTCCAAGGTCATTTACTAGATTCCAGAGTTATCTCTGAGGCCTCTTGCTGGGCAGGTGCTCCTTGCTTCCCAGGCCGAACACCTGCTAGGTCTCCAATAACCTGCAGTAGAGAATAAAAATTCAGAGTCCTGAAGATACTAAAAAGCATGCCCATAATTGAATCAGGCAATTCAGAAAGGTTGTGCTTTATTTGTGTCAAGCACAGAAGGGGTTTCAAAGCTAATTTCATACCCTGGAAGTGTGAAATCTTTATTTTTTACCTTGTGCTGTATAGTGCACAGCCTGAGATTCACAACCTGATCTTGTAAGTTTGCCTGTGTGAGTGGTCATATTGCATTTGATACTGTTGATATGTGAGCAAAGGTTGCAGCTCAAGGCTTTTAAATAATATACCACTTTGTTCTATCCATATGGATTGTCTGTTGAAGCCTAACAGCAATCAAAGACGATTAAGAAACAGGGAACAAAACACAAGTGCCAAAATTGCTACTATATGAGGATGTTGTGGACACTGGGCAGAAACTTTGAATGAAATTGTGTAACACATGTAAAATAGATTTATTTTCTTCTGCTCTTGTAAACCATATTGATAATCTGTTCTAAAAGCAAGCAGAATAGAAATAGTTACTCTCTCTGCACCACCAAGCTTTCTGTGAATTTTAGCTTATAGTGTGTCTAGTTAAGGACTCAAAACTTCCTTTTCTGGTTTTGATTGCTCTTTTCAGATTTAGCATCTTATTTCATACTCATGTTTCTTGTATTAGTTTAGGTGCAGTTAGTAATGAAGAAATCTGTATTGCAACTCAGCAATTTCAGCATTTCAGTGTCTGCTGCTTTCAACAACTTAGCCAACTGCTAAGTTCCAACATGCCCTAAAACAATGTACAAAATAAGGTTTCACTGCTGTGAAAGAATTACTGTGCTCTCTTTATAACTTTTATGTGAAAATGGATCTACCTTTTTTCTAAAACAAGCTTAGGGACTGGAGCAGAAGTACCAATCTAGGAGGAAGAGAAAAGAGAAAAGGGCCCCAGGACACCTTACAAACAGGCTGTCAAGCTTCCAAGAGACCCATGGACTGATACTCTAACTTATTTTCCTGATTACCTGGAATTTTTCTGGTTTACCTAGCTGACAGGAACTGTCAATATGTATATGCTGTAGATTTCATGTGTGAATTTTGCTGTTCTTCTGTCTTCAGAGGCACTGAGAAAATACATTGCAAAGTTCCATGGCCTGGCTTGGATGTCAGTGAACTGCAGTAGCCATAGTCTTATTGCTCCTTAGTCTGAAGTTGAGGTAAGGTTCAGCTGCTTAATTCTACTTTTGTTCCTCTTTAGAACATTGAATCTGGATGAGATCAGAAAGTGATTTAAAAAACTGCTCCATGCTGTTTCCCAGGTGAGGTAGATAGAGTTTGCTGCATTGTTTCCCAGTATTCGTTCTTAATAAAAATGCAGAAAACATGCTTTTGTCAGACTTGAAACTTAATGGCAATGTGCTAGTTCCCATTTAAAAGTCAGGACAAATTTGACTGAAGTCAGAGATTACAGGCACCCTGTTTTAACACTCCTGGAAAGGAAATATTGCTGGAAATGGGAGATTTTAACTTTCCAGGCACATCATCAGTAAGTGGCAGAGCCCTGATCTCCTAAGGTTTGTTTTAATTGATGTTGCTCCACTCAGTAACAAATCAAACCAACAATAGGTGTTGTCCAGCTTAGGTAAATGTGGACACAAGCGTTATAGGAAGTGTGCATGGGTAGAAAGGTCACACCCTTTGGCATAAGGTGGAAGAATGGAAGGAGAAAGTAGCTCTGTTACACTCCTGTGAACACCAATACTACTTTAAAAAAAAAATTTTTAGGTGAGGGGTTTCCTGAACTCTGAACTTGTCAGAGCTGTTGAATTGTTTGTATTATCAGTGGTGAGACACTAGATGAGCAGGGGTGGTACAGGAAGAACCATTCACTTTGAAGGAATATAAGCCATGGTGTCAGAAAAAATAGAGCTCTGAAGATCCTTCAGAGTGAAGCTAGGTGGTGCAGTTAACTAGCACATGAGCTCTTGTCCTCTGAGGACTGTTTAAAATGAAACATAGTTTTATTAGCAGTTGCAAATGAAGTGGCCTCTCCTCAGGAAAAGTAGTGAATTATGGTGAGGAATTTGTATTATTAGCCGGCTGCTTTTTATCTGACATACCCATCATGGGTTTTTACGTCTCCAAAAATGAGGGCAATGAGAGGTGCTAGGCTGCAGGTAGATATTAGAAGATATGTCTTCAGAGTTGTTATTAAATACTTGTTAATTTT